TTGATGGCCATTTAACGCGGCCACATACTGACTACGCACACATGCTCCACCCCTGGGTGGGATTTTGAGATTCGAGGGCCTCATCCCCGTGATAGACAAGGATGTCTTGCTGTGACGGTCCATAGAGCACTTGTTTACCGATGCCTCCACGGTAAGAAATTTCCCTTTGTTTTGATGCATTGTTGAAGCTCACAAGTAGCCCACTAGTTAAATGCCATATATTTCTCATTTTCAAGTGATAGCCAGGAGGATTGGTGGATATAGATCCATATCTAGACCCCGGTGCTGGTATGAGAGACTGCACATGGAGGTCTGCGCATTAGTTGACGCAACTGGCTTTGGGCCCTTTTGCTCAGGGCTTATACAGATGAGAGCTAAGTCACTGTTGTACATAGCCCTGGTTAAGAGATGGTGGGACACCACGGACTCATTCCACTTCTCATCGATCGGGGAGATGACTCTAACCCTGTACAACTTTGCAATGCTCACCGGCATGTGGATTGGAGTTGGCAGTCCGATCCCACATGATCCTGACATGACGCAGTGGAAAGCTGCACAACGTCAGCTTCTTGGAGCGATCCTAGACATTACCAGCCACGAGATGGTGAGGTATAACTAGTTCTTCGAGTACTTCTTTGACTTTCAGCCCACCACTCCAAATGAGGTTGCCCAGTACACCCGTGGCTTTCTTATGTATCACCTCGGTACTACCCTATTTGTGAACAGGGAAAATACCATGGGGTTATATCTTCTGGGGGCACTAGTGTACCTCCCTCGGGTGGCAGAGTGCGATTGGGGTGGCGCTGGTCTGGCCACCCTATACTGTTATATGAGCTCCGTATCCCGCTGCAAGGCGGATTCACTCAGCAGCTATTGGAGAGTCTGGGAGGTATGCCTCACACTTATCTTTTCTCTTCATTCCATTCATTTTGCATTTTCTGCTCATTTACGTTTCATTTTTGCTTATTGAGTTCATCCATCTTTTTCTATTTGCTTCTCTAGGGATATACCTACTTCACCTCATTGGCTCCAGTCCTGGTGTGGCCGATCGAGTTGTCAGTACCCCTCTCACGATACTATAACTCCCAATTTGAGCGTCGTCGCTCTGTAGACCAAGATTTCCCCTATTTCCGCCGCTTCTTTGACACGATCATGGCAGACCAGGTAGCAAAATACCAACCTTTAACTGTTACATACCATGAGCATATTGCCTTGTTTCCTACACTTCACGATCATTCTCATACTATTGATTTCTCACACTGTACTAATCTCTGACATTGCACTGATTTCTCACACCGCACTAATTTTTGACACTGCACTGACATCTGACACTGCACTGCCATTCCTAGACCGCACTGATCTAACACTGCACTAATTTCTGATACTGCATTGTTATTTTAACGCTGCACTGATTTCATAGGTTGACTGGCATCCTTGGGCGAGCATTCCCCAGGTGTCGAGGATGACCTACGCCGCTGCACGGCATGCCTCCACCATGCAGATTCTATTCGAGGGTCCCTTTGATCGGGCGTACTACCTGGGAAAAGGTTCATTCGCCAGACGCGAGGCGCTGCTAACCCCGACATCGCACATCCCCTCCTCAGATTATGAGGGTAGTTGATGAGCTACAGGATGGTCCTCAGATCGACCTCCTGATGTTAGACGGGGACGACAATCATCATCATGAGCCTGGCGACTTCACTACATTCTTACACACCCAGGTGATGGCGCCTCTTACCCCAAGCGTGGCTCGAGTTGTGCCGAAGGTTACTGCTACTGCTGCTATGGCTGGTGGTGCGCTGCAGGAGGTGGCCCTGTTGTTGCTCCCATTCCTAGATTTCCTGCGATCCTCATTAAGATCATGTACATGCGTCCAGATGGAGTGATCAAGTAGATCCTGTTTTAGCGCATCGAGGAGAGGGACCGCATAGTAGTGTTTCTCCTGGCATTGAGCAGGTACACATTCCTCTGTACTTTTACTTACTACACTTTATCTTGTTTTCTACGATTTTTGGTCATTGTTCGCTATTACTTCTATTTGCCTTTCTCAGATTTTGTTCGTTTTGTAGGTACCCTAGGTGTATGCTGATGACCTCCTTCGTACGATCGACTGACTGCTCCTTATGGTACGGAGGAGGCAGACCGCCCTAGTCGCCCATGGGATCGAGGTACATTCTATCTGTAGTCTATTGTTGTTGCCATACTGTACACTCTTGTTAGTTCATACTAATACATGTCCTATTGTTAGCTTTAGCTAGTGCCAGCAGTGCCTACAGGACCTTCCGCAGCTAGTAGATAGAGACGGGGCCTGGTGAGGGGCCGAGGGGGAACCAATTGAAGGAGAGGCCGAGCGAGGTAGAGCTCACCTTCCGAGGAGTTTTTTGACGGGACTACGACCCCCGAGGATGAGGAAGAGGAGGTTGATTTGCAGTCTAGTAACCCTAATGAAGATAGTGATGCACCACCTCCCTAACCAAGGAAGAAAAGGGCGAGGATGGGCTATTGACGAGGATGATGATTTTCGTTTTATTTATTTTTTATTTTTTATTTTTAAAGACTAGCTTCAGATAGACCCTTTTGTTTTTGTTTGAAAGATTTTCTTTTCTTTTATTGCTCTGTAAAACAATGATCGGGGTTAGATCCGCCAGTTATAAAAGATAAGTTTTTGTTGAATGATTTCCTTACACAATGTGATGAATGATTGCATGGCATAACCTTTGCATGAAAACTTTTCATAAGACTTGCTCTTGCATTCATTTGAATCAGATAACTACCCATAACCAGACAAAATCGTGAAATATAAATCGATAACTGGAAACAAAATAAAAACAATTCAAAAATATCAAAAAACACTTGGTACAAACAAAACAAGACTCAAAATACAACTATGGTATGTCAAGGCGAAGGTTGGCCGTTCTGCACTCTGTTGGGCCCGAGGCCATGTGGATCACGTCGAGTGGAGGCAAATCCTGTCTTACGGCTATTGCTTTGGTTGACTTGTCCTTTCGGATGTATTGTTGTAGCCGACCATCTTGTACCAATTCCTCTAGGTGATCCTTCGATGAGTAACAACTCTCAGTATCATGGCCGTGATCCTTGTGATACTCGCACCGCCTATCCCGTCTTCTCGTTTCGGGAGGTCCCACCATTTTGGATGACCATTTGGAAGGTGTTGGAGTTTGGACATAACCGTGCTGATCGGCTCTGACAACTCTATGTATTTCTTGTCGGCGCACCTTGTGCGCCTGCCATTGACTTGCAGTTGTTCATTTGCTTGGCGGGGGCATTGGTCGCTCGATCGGCGAGAATCCCGTCTCTTGTCTTATTTAGCCCGATGTCGTGGTTCAGGGCTTTGAGGTGGTACGAAATTTATTGGCTGAGAAATTTCAGAAGGGGCCGTCTTGTTGGCCACGTTTTCGGCTTTAACCCGTAAGGCGTCATCCTCCACTTTGCAGTATTCCTCAACTTTCTTCATCAACGACCAGACTGTTTTGGGGGGTCTTCAAGTCAAGGAGCTGCAGAGAGCACTGTCAGGATGCAAACCCATTTTGAAGGCGATGATGGCCATGGAGTCGTTGCAAGCGTCATCAACAAAATTAAAGCACTCCCAGTAGCATGCCGAATACGCTCTTAGTGTTTCTCCTGGCTGGATCTGCATTGCCCAGAGAGAGTCGGCTTGTTTCGACTGGACCTCATTGGTGATGAATCTGGCCCTGAAAGATTTCTGTAATTGATAGAAGCTCTTGATCGAAGCCGGCTCCAGTTTATAATACCACCTGACAGCCAATGGTCCCAAACTGCTGGGAAATATTTGGCACTTGAGGGCCTCATCGTCTGCATGCAATGTCATGGCTTGCTTGTAGTGACAGATGTGATTGGTGGGGTCTGATTTTCCATCATAGAGAGTGAATGACGGAGCGTTGAACTTTTTGGGCAGAATCGCCCTTGCGATCCGTCGTATAAAGGGATCATGTTGGTCTTCTTTGTCTGAACTGTTTCTTCTTCGCTTATGGCTTATACGTACACTCTCTTCAAAAGAACTGGTAGCTTCTAGTCGACCCTTCTTTTTGAGCTCTGGGGACAATGAGTCAAAGTCACTGTCAGTGTCTTGTTGTCGGGCTCGAGGTCGTCGACCACCTTCCCTCAGAGGTCGTTTCGGATCTTGGCGTAAAGCTTGTTTGGACTTCGATACTTCCAAGGTGAAATCCTGACAGAGACGTTCATTCTTAGCGATCATGTTCTCTAACCTCTGTTCGTTTTGCTTTACTTGCTCCATAATCGCTTGCATTGCCTCATGTGCTGATGTCGAGGGTGAACCGAAGTTCAAGGCCCTTCTTGCGGTAATATTCTCTGGCCCAAGCATATTGCTTGGAATGGTTTCATTTTGCAGTGTAGGGTCGATAGCGACTGCCGAAGGATCTTCTGTCACGCCCGCCATGGATGTGCTTGAGTATTCCCACAGACGGCGCCAATTATGGGGAAGTGGTTCTAGAAATACTCTTTGGATCTAATGGGGCACTTGAGATCCTCAGCTGGTAACCTGAAAAAGAATGAGCACTCTGGTCGGGGGTGCCGAAATTAGCACTCTGACGGATAAGTCAGTATATACTCTCTCGATTGCTTGTATTTTAAGTTAAGTGTACTAGTTCTCACATACCTCTCTCTGGCTGATGTTCTTCTATTTATATCTTTTCTTTCTTGGGCCTCGGGGCTAGGCCCACATTCAATTCACCGTATAACTATTTACTCGGCTCCTTTGGTTGCAAACCGCTCTTCACTCGACCCCTTATTCAACTGGTTATTTGGCCGAATAGGGTAGGATTTGTATGTATAAGACGGGGCCGAATGCGATGTATATATTTCGACTCTCCATGTCCAATTATTCAGCCTCTTTATGTCTCCCGATATTCGGCCCCCACAAAGTTCAATCTGTTTGGCAACCACTTTTTCTCGAATAAAATGGAAATTGATTTCGATATGTTTTGACTGAGAATGAAAAATAGGGTTAGATGCTAAAGCCATTGCAGATAAACTGTCACACCAGATAGCAGGAATAGTAGAAGAGGAAACACGAAAATCTTTGAGCAACTGCTGAATCCAAGTGAGCTCAGCTATGGTATGAGCTAAGGCTCGATACTCAGCTTCAGTGGATGATCGATAAATAGTTGCTTGCTTTTTGGCTGACCAGGAAATCAAGTTTGAGCCAAGATATACACAATAGCTAAAGGTGGATTTTCGATCAAGACTATCACTGCCCCAATTAGAGTCTGAAAAGGCAGAAAGATCAAAAGGACTAGGTATGAAAGAAAGACCATGAGACAAAGTCCCTTTCACATATCGAAGAAGCCTCTTAACTACTTGAAAATGAGCATTAGTGGGAAGATGCATAAACGGACAAACCTGATTAATAGCATAGGAGAGATCAGGTCTGGTGATAGTCAAATATTGCAGACCACCTACTAAACTTCTATACAAAAAGGGCTGAGCAAATGGTAGAGAATCAGCTGCAGAACATACAGTTTTAACAACCATAGGAAAAGAGCATGGTTTGCAGTCTTGCAAACCTGCTTTGTGCAATAAGGCAGCTGCATACTTGGCTCGAGATAAGAAGTAACCATGCTCATCAGAATGAACTGAAATTCCCAGAAAATAGGACAGAGAACCAAGCTCTTTCATAGAAAAAGCCTTGTGCATTTGCTGAAGAAGGTAAGCAATGATAGCAGAATCATTACCAGTTACGTAAGATATTATCAACATATACCAAGAGAATGGTGAAAATCAATTCCTTCTTGTTGCAAAAAGCCCTTTACCACCAATCTAGCTTTATAATGGGCAATTGTACCATTTGAATATCTTTTAATGCAAAAAACCCATTTGTACCCAATGGCAATCTTATGAGGAGGAAGGTCAACAAGGTCCCAAGTGCCTTGTTGTTGAAGAGCTTGATATTCTTTCTTTATGGCTTGAAGCCACAGAGGTGATTAAAGAGCAGGTTGAACAGAGGTAGGTTCAGTGTCAAGAAGAGAAACAGTAGCAAAAAGACACTGAGGAAGTTGGTGTTTGGATCTAGTGATCATGAGATATTTGTTAGAGACAAAAGAAGGAAGAGAATGAGGAGGTGAGTCAATGATAATAGAAGAAATAGGAATAGGCTGAGCAAGAGAAGTAGGAGTAGTAGAAGAAGAAGGCTCAGAAAAAGAAGAAGGCTCAGAAGGAGCAGTAGATGGAACAGAAGAAGAAGAAGGCTGAACAGGAAGCACAAATGAAGAACTGAGGGAAGAAGGCTAGAAAAGGAAGTAAGAGCAGACAAATCTGAAGATGAAGGAGAAGAAATTGAGGGCTGCTGCTGAGAGAAAAGAAAAGATGATTCATTAAAGATAACATGCCTAGAAATGTAGACTTTTCCAGAAAGAGGATCAAAACATATATAACCCTTAATAGTAGGATGATATCCTAAGAAAACACAAGAAATGGATTTTGGTGCTAGCTTGTGAGGAGTATAAGGCTTTAACCAAGGAAAACATTGGCAACCAAACACTTTGAAAAGTGAAAAATCAGGTAAGATATGAAAGAACATTTCAAAAGGAGTCTTGTGATGTAAAACACTAGAGGGCACTCTGTTAGTGAGAAATGTAGCTGTGGCAATGGCATCAAACCAAAAATTAATTGGAACAGAGAAGTGATGAAGCAATGTGATTGCAGTTTCAATAATATGTCTGTGTTTGCATTTACTATGTGTTTCTTATTCCGGTTAATTAGCTAGAATTACTATGTGATGCACACAGCAAAACAAGTATAGACTAGATCGCCTAATTTGGAACAAAGCATCGCATATCCATTTGTTTGGAAAATATTTTGAAATTTGCTACTCGCAAGTAGGCTAAAACACGGATTTTGATGAGTTGTTCCGACTCAAGCAATCCAACCTTCACCCACAGGCATTCAGGCAGTTCATATCACAAAAGCATCTAGCCACATTGTAAGCATGCCGTCATGTTAACATTCACACTCGTGCGAGATGCTAAAGCACAAAATACTTACAGTGCACTCCAAGCCAAAATAAAGAACTCGTTAGCAATCAATATATGATCCAAGTCCATGTTAAGTGCCTAATGCAACGCATACAAAATGTAATTAGGATAGGCTCGGCTAATCCTAGGACGACATGTGAAATGCAACCATTTAATGCACATATTCAAGTTTAGATTTGAAATACTATGCAGTTAGTATGATGCGTCGAGCCCGATGCATGTATTACTGATGAATGATGCACGCATGCATAGCATAAGGATGCTAAATTAAATATGTCCTAGTACTAACCATCAAAGCAGGTAAGTAAAAGGGAGAAAGAAGTGGGGGTTGGAAGACATGCACACACGCACCCACACTTATTACAAATTTGCCCTCGCTCATTACAAATTTGCCCTCGCTCGGGGGACCGAAAGAATAATACAGATTTAACTAACCTACAAGCTAATTAAATATTATAGACCAATTAAACTAGTTAAGCAAATTAACTAATCTAATAAATAGTTAAACAGCCTCGGGAAGAGGGTCCAATGCAATGCGTGCTCGGCTCCGCTCGGAAGTCCACTGCCATGCACAGGTTGCCTCTGTCCACACTGTTTTCCTTCTCTGATCATTGCAAAATTCCCAAGGTGCACTCTACGAACCCTGTGGGATACCACCGGCCAAAGTAAATGGTCACCGGCCACTAGCTAAGCTATCAGCCACTAATTGTTGGTCGGTCGGCACTAAAGATGGTCGGCCGGCCAAATCTTCCTGCAGAATCCTGTTTTGACAGCAGCAGAGGGCAAAACAAAGGCATGGCAATGCATTCCAAGCAAATGTGTGTACCAACACATCCCTTATCATGTTTATGACTCAAAGGGACATGGTTCTCAGTTCTCGGGCCACCAATCGCGGATTTCAATGTGTGATGGCCCAAGAAACCAAGTTATGCACTTTGATTTCAAATGAAATGCACATAAACAAACAAGGAGCTCAACCTCTACCATACTCAATTCAAGAGGCTAAACATGCATGTCAATGCAATGCAACCTAGACATATGAGCAAGTATGCAACATGAACAATTCGAACAAGCATTCAAGGCATGTGACAATCATGCTAACCAATAAGTATGCCCGATACAATGGGGATGTTCAGGCATGCAAGCAAGCATGTAACTTCATTCAATCATGCCACAACACATGGAGCAAACATGTTAAGCAACCTAAACATGTGACAGCACACAAGTATGCAACAACACACAAGATGAGCATGCAGCAACATGCGAACTATGGACTTAAACTAATTTGGGCAGCTCTATACCAAGCCCAAAACAGTAGCCAACATGCTTAAGAATGAAGGCAAAATGACATGCAAACATGCGTGCACACAAGGACCAACACTTAGGCCTATAGAAACAACTCTAAGAGGATGCAAACATGGACAAATGGCATGCATTATAAGCTCTAAAAATCATGTTAGAGAAGGTGCCAAACCAATCTACAATGCAAGCTAGGCATGCCACCAAGCCCAAGGACTTAAACCATGGCCATATGACATATGAAGCAAATGACCAAAATGAACTAGAATAGCCCTAAATCATGCAAAAGTAAGCCCCAAACACCACTTAGATAGCATCTAAATGATCTAATCCTAGAGGCATACACAATGGCACAAACACGGAGCAAGAAACACCAACCTTTTAAAGCATGAAAGGGGCATCAAATGCAAGCATACGAGCATATCATGAAGACTGAAATGACTTGACAAATGGTTCCAAACCACTGAAATGATGCAAGGATCGCATGCTAGAGGGGTCAATGCTTAAGGCATACAAGAAAGGTTACATGGTAGCTATACAAAGCAAAGCATGGACAATCCAAATGACCCAAAACAGACCTTTAGCATGCTAAAACAAGCATAAAAGCTTCACGAAGCTAAGCCAAAAACATGCTAGAAACAAGGCTCAAAGCACAAGGCATGTTAAGGCAATTCATGGCATTACAAGACATGTATGCTAAGCAAGCATGGTGTGTCTAAACCAAGTAAAAACAGTGCTATATTGTGGCATAATAAGCATAAAAACAATTAAGGCATGGCCAACATACACTTAAACAAGGCGCTCTATAATGAGGCTTAAATGGCCATTATTGAAGACAACAAGGAGAGCGAGTGGCCCCGTCCTTCCTAGGACCTTAAGGCACCATCCTCACCACCGAAATCCCTCAAGATTTCAGTGGTGAGGAGGCCCAAACGAGGTGGTCCCGGAGCTCAACCAAAATGGCACAAAATGGGGCCAAACAAGCCCTAAGAGGGGTCAAACAACCCCGAAGCTCAAAACACTCTTAAAAAACTATTTTAAGCAGGTAAAAACAGAACTTTTATATGTTATATGCAAAGTCTAAAAATAGTTGCAAGATAGTCAAAAAAACTATGCAAAAATGGGGAATAAAGGGCAAGAACACTCACCCTTCTTGACCCTCTTCAAGAATGATGCGCCAGCAGCTTTTTCAAGCTCAAAACCACCCAAAAACACCAAGAACAGCCTTCTGGTCCCTTAGCAACCAAGAGAAGGTGTAGGAGTAGGTGTTTGTGTGCAATAGCAAGACTAAACACACACACAAGGCAAAAAGAGAGAGATATAGAGATGGAATAGATACAAACTCAAACCCTAATCTCAGAGCTCTTCTGAAAATTTTTGTAACCCTAATGAAGGGAGAAGAGGCTCCCTCTTATAGACAATCCCTCTTGTAAATCTTTCCAAACAAGCTAGTCAAGAGGGAGATCCCTCCATACACGTGTATGGAGGGGAGCAAAGTGTATGCCAGCTAGCATAGCTGGCATAAAAATATCTGCAAAAGCAGATGAACAGTGGTCGGCCAGCCAAAAATGCAATTTGACCAAAATAGATGGCCGGTCAACCATCTAGAGTGCCGGTTGGCCAAACATTTGGCTGATGGAAACAAAACATAGTCGTTGGCCTCAAGCCATGGCCGGTGGAGTGTGGGGATGGCCAAAAAGCCATTCCCTGCCCTCCAAAGCAAAAAACACTAGTGTTTGGTGCAAAACCAAACACAAAACAGTCGAGTCGAGAGATCCTGAGGCAAGGCGCGTAGCCGAGACCTCCGGGAACTCAAGACGAACACAAACAAGGATGATCACCGAGTGTTCAAACGGTAACGTCCAAGTCTTGAGGACGGTCAAAAATTGGGTGTCTATTGTTGCCCCTCTTTGACAGAACTCAAAAGTCATAAGAATGACAGGAGTGAGTGTCAAAGCCCAGAGACGACCCATTTTTGACAAGGCCGAAGACTTTGACAAAGCATGCAAGACAATAAAGATATGCGCCCGAAGGCAGGGGCAAAATGCAACTGATAATGCAAGAAGCCGAGCATAACTTATGATCATGCAAAGAAAGCTGTAACGGAGCATAACATGTAACAGTTTTAAACTAGCATACATCAATCCAACTACACTACAATGCAGAAAGGATGTAAGACAATTATGCAATTCTCGATACGTCTCACTCGGAGAATATAATACCTGCACGGTTCGTCTGGTTGCACCAGCTTCAAATGAACCGTACATACAATATCATGCCTAAAAGAGAAAGAAAACTTAATAGGTCCAATATCGTTAGCAATGTGCATATCAATGCAAACGAAAGCTGCGCGACAACGCGAATGTAGAATTTACGGTCTCCTTATACCAAGGGGTGCACAAACAGTGCGATGATATGCAATTGAAT